GTCCAAAAGATCGAGCGCAATGTCCACCGCTGGCGCGGCTCCGCCAACGGGGGCCTCTCTGTCCGTCTTGAGGCCGTCTTGAGGCCTTCATGGGCCGTCTTGGGTTCTCTTCGGGGCTTCTGGGGCAGTCTTCGGGCGATCTTGGGACCTCTTGGGCCGTCTCGGGGGCCTAGGGGCTCGAACAGCGCGAGAGCGAGGAATGCTGGCGGCAGCATCGCGGGAGTCAATGATTCTGGCTTCTCGGGGCCCGTGTGGGTCTTCATGGGGCCTTCTTCTTGGGGCGTCCTGGTGGCCTCCTGGGCGGTCTGGAGGGCATCTCGGGCGTCTGTGGGCGGCTCTGGGGTCCGCTGGGGGCCTCCTCGGGCCGTCTTGGGGGCCTCTCGGAACCCCCTGAAGCCGTCTTGGCACTCTCTGGCCTTGGAGAGATCGCGCGACCCGTCCAGGAGCCACCTGGGCAGCCGCGGGACATCCTGAGCCCCTTTCAGGCTTTCAAATCGTTACGAATTTCGATCGATTCATATGGGGCTCGATTCTAGAGGACTCGACGGGACCTGAGGACACTCCGCTCAAAACTGCGTCGCGTTCGCGGATAGTAGAAACGGCGAGTAGCGCGATCGCATTCCGCGGCCGTTGCCCCCCCCCCCCCTTGCCGCGACGACTTGGGGGGCGCAGGGGCAGGCGCCCGCAGGGGTTCCCTCAGCGCGAGACCCGGCGACTGATATAAATGTGTGATGCATGTGCAGAAGTGCTTGAGGCCAGATCCTGGATGGGGCCCTCTGGGGGCTGTCGCGGGGGGGCTCTTTTCGGGCTCTCTTAGGCCTTCCCAGCGCGTCTCGCAGGCCGCGCTGACGCGCGGCCGCGTCCGCGTGGGTCGGCGACTCGCGCGGTCTCGGTCTCATGGCGACGTCGACGGCGGCAGACCGGAGATGGTGGGGGCGATGCTGGCGGCGGAAGTGACGATGAAGATTTGCGAGGCGGATGGCGGCGCCGATGCTGGCCATGCCGGCGAAGGTGATGGCGCCCGCGCGTCGGCGATGAAGGCGTCGGAGGGATTCCGATGCGCGCTCGCGGCCGCCGCGCTCAAGTGGCCCGCGCGGCTTCGTCTGACGTGGATCTCGCCCCCCCCCCCCCCCCCCGACGCGCGCGCAAGGGCGTTCGAATGATTTTGACGCGCGCGCGCTGGGGGCCATTTCGTTCGCCGCATTTGACGGGGATGTTGGAGCCCGAGCGTTCCCGCCTGGACTCGCAAACGCGCGCGCGTTTGTTTGGCGAGTCAGGGTGCAAGGCCATCGGTTGTTCATGTGCGTTCGGTCGCGTCGATCGCGCGCCCCATGCGACGCCTGAGGTTGCAAGATTGCGACGTGCGAGCGCGAAGGGCATGTTTGGCCGCATGCGGTGGCAATGTTGGAATCTGATCCGTAATATTGCGCGCGAGCGCGCGCTCTGTATTCTCAGCGAACAACAACGTTTGAATATCGCGTTCCGGGGGGTCGATCTTGCAGTCCGCTCGCAGCCGAACTTTTCCGAATGATTCTGGCACGCGCGCGCGACGACGCACTGGGGTGGAGTTTGTTTTGTTTTTGCGTTGACAGTGTGCTTCGAAATCGAAGATTTGCGATGGGTGAGCGTGCGCGGATGGCGTTACTAGTTCATAATTCAGATGCAGCGCGGGGCATAATCATCTGCACTTCGCATTTTCCCAGTCCCAGGGGCCGCGAAGAGTTGGGGGCGGGTGAGTGGGTGAGTGGCATTTTGGAGCGCAGAACCTACGCGGCTCAATTCGCCGTGCCGAACTCGAAGTTGTCAATCCCAGTGCTCGCGCAGTCTTCCACCCCCCCGCCCGCAATTTGATTTGCTAAATCCATGCGGCGACGATTGCGGCGACTGTTTGGCGCTGGCTTGCGCGTCGCTGCGGCCGCGCTCGCGCGCGCGGTCTCGCGCGCAGAGCGGCCGGCTCGTCTGGCGCGACCGACGCGCCCGCGATGGCATTGACCGCTGGGGAATTCCCAGCAAGTCTCGCAGGCCGTGCTGACGTGCGGGCACTCCAGTGCGAGTCTTTGCATTGGTCCTGGCGGACACGGTATCATGGCGACTTCGACAGCGGCAGACACGATGGTGACAGTAACGATGTTGGTGACGAGGATGACAGTGACGACGACGAAGTCGATGAGGGCGCTGATGCTGACCGCGCCGATGACGATGATGGTGGCTATTTGTCGGCGATGGCGGTGCTTGAAGGATTTCAGCGTGTGCGCGCGGCCGACGGGAGCGAGTGGCCCGCATAATATTATTTGTCAAAGAACGTACCCAAAACAAAATCTGCGCGCGTGGGTGTTCGAACGATTTCGACGTGCTCGCGCGAGTGGCCAGCTTGGTGGCATTGGACAAAGCGGTTGCCATACTTATGGCATCCGAGGATGTCGCGAGTTTTCTTATATGTACGTATAAACAAACTTGCTGTTTGTTCATGTATGTATGTATGTATGTCTGTCTGTTTGTCTGTCTGTATGTTTGTATGTATGTATGTATGTATGTATGTGCTTGGTATGTTTATATGTATGTACATATATGTGTATATGTGTATTTGTATGTATATATACACACGAGACTGCAGTGGCGCTTCGCGCCATTCACCTTGGTCCTTGCGCCTTGCGGAAATGGCAGGAAGGTCAAGCGGACAATTTTGCGATACATCCTAGCTGCCTTTTCTGGTATAGCCGTTCTAATAATGTTGTTTGTTATCCCTCCTCCATGCTTATTTTTCCTCATTCTCGCTATACCCTGGGTATTCTCCCCATCCCCAGCTCTTTTTGCGGAGGCTCCTCCTTGGAGAGCCTCTGGGGGCCTCACCAAAGTTCTCAGACTTTCTAAAGCCTTCTGGAGGCCTTCTGGGCGTGTTCTGGGGGCCTCTGGGGCTTCCTAAGACCAACCTGCCTCTAACCGCAGTCTCCCTGAACGCCCCGGTCACGATTTGGAATGCTTCGGAGGGCGTTTTGGGGCCATCTTGGGCCGCCATGATGCTCTCTTAGGGCCATTTTGGACCCCTGTTGTGCCGTTCTGGGGCTCTCTTGGAGTGCCTAGAAACCCTCCCAGGCGACTTCGACGCCCAGGCGACTTTATGGTTGCGGGGCGATTTTGGAGCCTCCCAGGCGACTTCGGACGCCCAGAAGACCGCTGTCTTGGAGCGTGGGGCCTTTTTGGGGCCTTTTTGGGGCCTTTTTGGGGGTGCTCTTGGAGGCCTCTTGGTACGTTTTGGAGCGATATTTCGGGGTATGACGGCTTCTTCGAGCGCTCTTGTGCTGTCTTGGGGTTCTCTGGGACGTCTCCGATGACCCCCCTGATCGCCCTGGGTGTGCTGCGAAGGCTTGGCAAAACGCCCTGCGAGGCCCGGGGTGCCGCTTCGAGGCCCGTCGGAAGGGTCTCAAAGCCCCAGATCCCGGGAGTCCCGTGGGCCCCCACATTGGAACTGTTCTTGGAGCCTTTTGGCCCGTTTTGGGCGCCCCTTGGGCCGTCTTGGGGCCCTCTGAGCTCTTTGAATGCCTCTCCGGCCGCCTTGGGCCGATCTTGGGGCTTCAAGGGCCGTCTGGGAACGTCGGGGAGTCGAGTGGGCGAGATCGCCAAAACCGTGCACCAACTCATGGGAAATCAACGATTGGCCCCTTGGGAGGCTGGTTGGAGGCCTCTTGGGGCGTCTTGGAGGCCTCTTGGGCCGTCTGGGGCCATCTTGAGCGTCCCGGAACGGTCGTTCGGCGATTCGGGGTGCCTTCTGGCGCCGTCTTGGTCCATCTTTCGGCCCTCTCTTACTGTCCGGCGCCTTCGGCGGTAGTCTTGTGGGCCTCTCAGTGCAGTCTTGGGGCCGTTTTGGGACCCTTGAATGTCACCCAAGAGCTACGTTGGACCGTCTTGAGGCCCTCTTGGAGCCGTTCTGGGGTTCTCTGGGTGCTCTTGGCCGTCTTGGGGCCTCTTTGACCGCCTCGGACGCTTGAAGACAAACAGAGGAGCATCCGAATATCAGTGTCATTGTCTGCTGTTCTACTCCTTGGGCCACTCGCTCTTGGGGCGCGTCAGCACCCTCTTGGGGCGTCCTGGAGGCCGCTTGGGCCGTCTTGGGGCCATCTTGGGCCGTCTGGGGACCCTGTTGGGCCGTCTTGGAGGTATCAGCGCCAACTTTGAGACCACCTAGGCTATCTTGGACCGTCTTGTTAACGCCCAGGACCGTCTTGAGGGCCCTCCTGGAGCCCTTTGAATGAACTTCCGTACAAGTTAGTCCAGTTTAGCCCAGCTCATAACGTCTCAGGCTGTTTCAGTCCAGCACAGCACCTGAGCCCCGTCCACTCCAGCTCATTTGAGCCTGATTCACTCCACCTCAAGCCAGCTCTTCCCTGCTCTGTCCAGCTCTCCAGGACATCCTGCCTCAGTCCACCGCAGGCCGTAAGGTCAACGCAGCAACGCCCAGCGCAGCCCATCTTTACAGATCCCAGCGCAGTTCAATCCAGTCGAGTCCAGCTGAGTCCAGCTCTGCCCAGTTACCTGATCTCAGCCCACCACAACACAGGGAAGTTCAGTTCAAGTTTGTCCAGCTTATCCCGTCTCAACCCCTCTCAGCCTAGCTCAGCCCAGCCCAGTATTTGAGCCACAGCGTAACTCAACCCAGCCCGGCGCAGGTCGCCTAGACTTAGTCGGATTCATCCCATCTCATTTCACCGAGGCCGTGCCGATTTGAAATGCCATTGTGGCCGTTGCTTCTTGGTGGCCGCATGGGCTTGCTGACATAGCTCAGCTGATTCCAGGAAAATGGCTATGAAGAAAAACACGTTCACATGATGTGTTCCCCGTGTCGGATTACTTTTACGCGATCAGCGTGCTTTCGCCGTCGAGTCTCTCGAGCTTTCGGGATCTGAGCTGGCCAGCGTGTACATGAGCTCTTTTTCATGCTTCTCGTCCTCGTCGTCGTCGGCGTCGTCGTCTCGCGGGATCGCCTCGGAATGCTTGCTGGCGAGGCCGGCATATACAAGTTCGACAAAGAACGGATGGAGCAGCACGAGGGCAAGTTCAGGAGCCCTTCCGATGAGGAGGCAGGAGGATGAAAGAGGGGGACGAGGAGGACGAGGGACGAGGTTCGAGGGTCGAGGATGCAGGTTTTTGAGCGTTTCGTGCCGGTTTTCGGGATTTCCAAGGCTTTTGAAGACGCACGTGCGCGCCGCTAGTGCAGCACAAACGAGCCGCCCCCCGTCTCGTGTAATGGTTTGCATTTTCGAGCTCCAGGTGAAACGATCTGCCAGGCCTGCCAGCGCGTCTGGTGGTGCGACGAGGAGAACACATTTATGTAGAAGAGGGATGGTGGAGGAGAGGGAGGTGGTGGTGGTGGTGGTGGTGGTGGTGGTGGTGGTGGTGGTGGTGGTGGTGGTGGTGGTGGTGGTGGTGGTGGTGGTGGTGGTGGTGGGGTGGTGGTGGTGGTGGTGGTGGTGGTGGTTGTCGGGCCTCTGCAGGCTGTGAGACCTTTAACGACGCAAATTCTCGGCGCTAGTGCGGCACAAACAAGCTGTCCGAGGGATGGTGGAGGAGGGGGCGGAGGTGGTGGTGGTGGTGGTTGTGGCCTCGAGGGCGGTTGAGAAAGATCAGACCAAATCATCATCATCGGAGGGCTGCGACCCTTCGTCGGAGCCCTCATCAGCAGTGCGCTCCCCAATGCCTCTGACTGGAGAGGGAGGGGAAGGACGACGGCGTGGACGACGAGGATGGCGACGAAGACGACGTCCAGGACGACGATGACGACGAGGAGAACAACGACGAGGACGACGAGGCACAGCGGATGGTGGAGGAGGGCGACGAGGATGACGACGAGAACGGCGGCGGCGGCGGCTGCGGCGCGCGCCCGCGCGGTCGAGGAACCTGGGCAAGTCCTCGTTCTCTGGGGGGGCCGGCGCGGACTCCTCGGAGCCGCAGTCCGTGCTGCCGCGCACCGGGCCGGTGGAGTTCGAGCGGGAGGCAGCGGCCGCCCCCCCCCCCCCACCACCTTGCCGCCGCTGCTGGTCAGCGCTCGCGTGGAAGATGATCTCACGGCAGCGTTACAGTCGAGACGTCCTCGCGTTGCGGGGCTCTCGGGGCGGGCGGGCTCTGCGCATGGTGCACGCTGCCCCTCCCAGTGCTTCCGATGCGAGTGGCCTTTCGCACGCACGAGCACATGGGGATTCTGCGACGAAGGCACCCTCATGGAACTGGGTTCTTTGATAAACCTTTCTGGCGAGTGTGTGTGTGTGTGCGCGTGCGCGCGCGCGCGTGTGTGTGTGTGTGTGTGTGTGTGTGTGTGTGTGTGTGTGTGTGTGTGTGTGTGTGTGTGTGTGTGGGGGGGTGGGCGTGTGTGCGTCGTGCATGCGTTGCGGCTGCGTGCGTGCTGCGTGGTGCGTGCGTGCGTGCGTTCGTGTGTATGTGTTGTGTGTGGTGTGTGTGTGTGTGTGTGGGTGTGTGTGTGTGTGTTGTGTGTGTGTCGTGCGTTTGTTTGTGGTGTGGTGTGTGTGTGTGTGTGCGTGTGTGTGTGTGTGTGTGTGTGTGTGTGTGTGTGTGTGTGTGTGTGTGTCTGTGTGTGTGTGTGTGTGTGTGTGTGTGTGTGTGTTAGTGTTTGTGTGTGTATATGTGTTTGACGGCGAGGAGGGTCTCCCGCCCGTGTCGACCGAACATTGTGTGTGTGTGTGTGTGTCGGTGCTAGGATCTTCAATGTGGACCATTCGTGGCTCAGGAAGGGGCTGGGGTTGTTGGGCAGTTTCTTATTTACTAGCTCATTGGATCATATAGTCTCTGTGGCCGAGTGCCAGACCTTGTGCCGCCTTCCCTTCTGCCCCCCCTTCTCCCGCCCTGCTCCCTCCCTCTGCCGCCGCTGCAGCAGCCGATGGCCGAGGGGCGAAGGCTGTTTCCGTCCCTGTCTGGCCTGTCTGGGTTCCCGGGGGCTTCCTGAGTCCAGGGGTCCTTTAGAGACCCCTCTGGACTTCCAGCGGCCTCCTGCCCCACTCTCCATTCTCAGGCCCCCGTGTGCCAGCACGAGAGTGTATCCCCCCTCTTCGCCCGACGCATGCGGCCAGTCAGGGTGAGGCGCTCGGCCGACTTGGAACAACGGTTGGGCGCAAATGCTGGCCCTTGGGTCGTGCGACGGCGGGCCCTGCGCCTGGCGGGCGCTCCAGGTGGAGGAATCCGACTTCGAGGGCACGCTCGGGCAGGTGGCGGCGGCCGCGGACCTTAGCCTGGAGGAGGCGTGGCGTCCGCCGAGGAAGTTCGTGGACCAGGCAGCGGCCGATGAGCCAGTGCAGAAACGGCGGAGGGCGCTCCATGGCCACCGTGAGCGGGCCACGCTGGAGGACGCCGTGGCGAACCTCGTGTCGGCGGCCAAACGAACTCTCGATGCCCCGCCGCCGCTAGGGGCCCGCGCGATGGCGGGGTCCCGCTCCGCGCGAGGTGCCGCGCGGCAGCGGAGGAGAACCGTCGTGGGTTGGAGGCGCAAGGGTCGGCCCGCTGGGAGCCTCGCCTGATCACGCTGCGCGATGAGACGGGAGCGCCCTCGCTGGAATCGGCGCGGTCCTGCTTCGACGTGGAGCGGGCAAAGGGCGACATCACGGCCCGCGCGCGCATCATCGCGGTGAAGTCGTACGTGCGGGCCATGTGGGCGATGCGCGGGTGGCTCTTGCGCGCGCGCGCGGTGTCCCGTGGGCCATGGCGATCGTGCACTTCATCGACTACGTGCGCGCTGGGGCCGCCGAGCCGCGCGGGCAGACGGTGCCCAACCGGGTCCTGCGCGCCATGGTGTGGACGGAGCGCGTGACGGGCGTGGGCCAGGGCGGTCGATTCTCTGTTCGGCCCGAGCACCAGTGGGTCGTCGCGAACGTGCGCATGCTCCTCGGCGCTGGCAAGGAAGGGCCCGACCACGAGGGCCGCGCGGCTTCCCGGCGCGTTCATTGGGGTCCTGGAGCGGTTGGTCGTGGACGAGGACCTCGCGAGGTACTTTCGCGGGGCGGCGTGGCTCCGCCTCGTCCAGGTGCGGGCGGTGTTGCGCCGCAGCGACCAAAGCTGGCTCCCGCCGCAGCGCCTCGCCTTCGTGGGCGGGGGGCTGATGGCCGCGCTGGGGCGCGCGAGAACTGACAGAGCGGGGCGCAAGATGCCAGAGCTGCCGCTAGCGGTCTCCCGCGAATCCAACAGGCTTGGCCCGGCGTGGATACAGACGGGCTTCGACCTTCGGAAGCATGGCGCTGATTTCGAGGGGGGCTACCTCCTGCCGCGGTGCGACGACGCAAGGCCGGCGGTGGTCCGAAAGCCCGCCGGGGACGCAGAGGCGGCGGCGTCGGCCCGGGAGGTGCTCTGGGGGATGCTGTAGCCATCGGCTTGTCTTTGCGGGGAGGTCGAGGACTTCGTCTCCGATGGGGTCGTGAACATCTGGGCGGGGCGCTGGGGAGGGGCGACGGTCCCTTCGGCCATGGCGGCGCCCAATAGGGATCCCGAGGGGCGAAGCGACGAAGGCGCGGGCGCCGGCGCGAGGGCGCGCCGCGCGGTCGTCTCTATGTTCCAGCAGCGTTTCGCGGAGGCGTGGCGTTCGGAGAATCCCTGTCTGGAGCTGGGCGGGGCGGCGGCCGTCCCGGGCCCGGCGAGCTGGCCGGTCTTGAGGAAAACTTTACGGCGCGGAATGCGGCGGGCGTGGCGTCTGAGACATGCGCGGCCTTCGAGGCCCGCGCTGGCGGGGCCACCGCGGCGCCCGAAGACGACGAGGGGCGGCCGCGGGGGGCGGCGGCCCCGGAAGCCGCCGTCAAAGACGGTGGGGGAGGAGGAGGGCGCCTCGCCTCCGACGGGGGCAGCAACGCCCCCGCGAAGAGTGCATGGGGGCAGAGGGCCGCCGTGACAGTGCTGACGAGTGCGGCTGGATGAGCGTTCAGATTGGAGTCGGAGAGCGGCGGCCGCGACTCCCGAGAGCGAGGGCGCCGAGGAGGTTGGCAGCTACCTCATCGCGCGCGCGAAGAAGCGCAAGGTTGCCAGGCCCCGCGGAGTAGGGGGCCGGGCCGTTGCTGGGCGCCCGGCAGGTCGCCGCTGAACGCAACCTATTCCGACGACGTGCCAGGCCCGAAAGAGCGTGAGATGGACTCCCAGAGGTGCGCCTCATTTCGGCCGAGATGACGACGGCGGCTGTCGAGAGCGAGGGCGGGGGCTCAGACAGTTCGGCGAGCTTCTCGAGCTCCGAGGGGCCCCCGAGGAGACAGTCCAGGAGGGGCGGTCAGCCTGGGGGGGCGCCAGAAGCTGCGGGCCCCGCGTGGCACTTCGGGGCGGGCGGGCGTCGGCCCTGCGGCGAGGAGGTCGAGGGCACCGGCAGCGGCGGTGCCCCGCGCGACCCATCGGGGCGGGGGCCCCGCTGAGGCGCGAGCCGCTTGCAGAGGAGGGGCCAGGGGCCGCGCTCGCGCGCCGCCGGGGCGCCAGCCGCGGCGCGGCCCAAGGCGCGGCCGGCGCGAGCAATTGACCGCGGGCAGTCCAAACTCGGCAGAGGGAGGCCGTGCCCATGTTAAGACCTTGCGTCGCCGTCGCTCAGCCGAGCCGGGGGGGTCGTCGCTTTTTCCGCGACCGCTTAGCTCGGGCGTCCTCGCTGGGCCGAGGCCTGCTGAGTTCCCCAGCGCAGTCCGCCGCCCTCGGCGTCGCCCGCGCGACCCAGAGCGCGGGGCGACTCTGCGGCGCGCCGCCGAAGGCGCTCGCGCAGCGGGAGGAGGAGGGGGGGGGGGCAGGGCGCTCGCGTCGCCGAACTCGGACCTGCGCTTTCTCTTCGCGGCGGAGGGCGCGCCGCTGAACGCGCGGGCGCCGCTGGGCCCCTGCGGCGCGAGGGGCCGGGGCCAGTCGCCCGCCCCGATGAGCTCGGGCGAGGGCGTCGGGGAGTTCGCCGAGGGCGCGCTCGCGATGGGCGCGGCGGCTGGGCTGGAGCCGCGCGCGAAGGTTGCAGCGCTGACGCGCGCGCGGCGGGGGCCGCGCGCGGGTCGAGCGGCGGTGGGAGATGGGGGGGGCCGGCGCCTGGCAAGTGGTCAAACCGCCGGGCGCGGGGGATCGCCGGGTGACCCGGCTGACTTACGAGAGGCGAACTGGATTCTCGAGGGGCGAGGCGCCCGCGGGATCTTACCTCGCGGAGATCGAGCGGGGCGACGTCAGGGCGGAGGCGCTCGCCGCAGTCCGCTCGGCCGAGGAGCGCGAGGGCCCCGACCTCCGGGCGCCGGCTTGGCCGAGCTCGGTGTTCAGGAGGGCTGCGGGGCCCGGGGGCGCCGCGGAATCGCATCATGCTCATGGGCGCGGGCGTCCTCATGCTCGGCCAGCGTCGCGCGAACGGGCAGGAGTTGCAGGGCGGAAGTCCACGGCAGTTCCCGTCGCGCCTGGACTGCGTGCCCGCGGGGTTCAACTGGAACCTCGCGGCGATAGACGCGCGGAGTGATGCGGCTGCGCGCCCGCCGTGGAACGAGATGCTGCAGCGCGAGCGACGGGTGCGCGGGAAGGCCCGGCAGCTGGCGCAGCAGGAACGCATGCCGTTCCGCGCGGCGCGTCGGAGAGTGATGGGCGACTCGGGCTTCGAGGAGCGCCGCTTCGCGGCGCCGCTGGCCTCGCCAGCCTGGCGCCCCGCCGCCAGCTTCGGCTGGCGCCGCTGCGGCCGCGGCGGCGGGGGCTCGGCTATCCGACGCAGGCGCGCGGGGGGGGGGGGGGGCGCGCGGGGGCGGCGGCCCGGGGCCAGACCAGTGCGCGGCACCTGCCGCGCAGGCGCCAGATGGCAAGCATTTGTGCGCCAAGTATCATTCCAAGATGGCCAAGTACTCGAGCTCCGACCCGAGCGAGCCATCCGACCGCGCGGGGGTGGAGATCAACGAGGCGGCCAAGAGGACCGCCGAAGGCTGGCCGGGCGCGCAGGGGCGGGCGAGCTACGGCGACGACGGGGGCTGCGTCGCAGGAGGGGCAGCCCATCCGCCCCAGCCTGCGGGTAGTGCTTCTATG